AATCAATCCCTCCTAGAATGCCGAACCTACACCGCCGTTACCTACACCTACATTGCCGTTAGCGCGTCTACGGGCCACGCCGACCCAACGATCCGAGGACACAGCAGGAGCCCGACCACGAGAAACCTACCACAAGGAGCCCACGCCTGAGACCCCATGACGCCCATCGATTTTCTGGTGTGGGGAAGTCACGCTCTCAAGAGCAAAACCATCGGAACACAAAAAACCCAGGGCACCCTGGAGGCGAGCAGCGAGCAGGGTTTTTTCTTGGCTTGGGTCTCCACTGCATGATCGTTCCCATCCCGTAGACGCGCTAACGGTGTGTTAGCTAACGGCGAAGTAGGAACACCAATTGTACGAAGGCGTGGTTCGTGGCCAAACCAATTGTAGGAACGCGTGGTTCGTGTTTTCCTACAATTGACTGTGCCGTTCTCGTTCGCTACATTCGCATGTCTAAAATGTAGGAAATGGTGCGTCGTGGTTTCCCACATTCGGTTTCCCCCAAAAAACTCGGTGTCGCAAAGACAAGATTCCCAATCGCAGCGTGAACCAAGCAAGCCGTCAGCGCGGCCTTGGTTAAGTGAAGGGGCCCTGGGACACACAAATAAATGGACACAAATAACAGGGATCCCCTATATTTTCCTATATGATATATGTTCTGGGTTTTTGTCTTCCCCCCCACTTCCCATATTTTCCCAGATTTTCAGGGGGATCGACGATTAATTGTGTCTGTGTGTTTTTCCCTCCTGGATTAAGGTGGGACGTGCCTCTCGTAGAGGGACGCGCTTGACTTCAAGACAGCTCGCGTCGGCGGATGTCTCGGGAGGCCGAGCGCCAGGCGGAGGCCCGGCCCTGAGATCCCACGGCGCGGACAAGATCGAGACAGCGCAGCAAAAGTCACGACCAAAGCCCGCATGCCCCCTCCTGCTGCGCCATCCCTCGAGCCGGATCGACCTCGCGCAGGGACCAGCCGTCCCGGCATTCCTGTCGGCCTAGCACGAGATTGTCGCAGAACCAGAAAATGCCCCAAAAGCCACAACAGCATGGTCCTTAGAACATCAACCCCATGCGCTAGAACAAGACAGTCCCAGCCAGAGCTGTTCTAACAACATTTCGTGCAGACCACAAAAGGTTCTTAGTCCATTCCTTGGTGGGCCTTTGGGCACAGCCAGGACGCTCCGCCACTGCTCGATGTGAGGGCCCCCGGGCTCGGAAGCAGGGCGGGAGCGCCTGGCTCGAAAAAACTGCGGCACCAGGATCCCGGGGCCAGCTACACGCAAGGGCGTCCCTGGGTATCCAGAGATCCAGCGCTTTGAAAAAAATCACGACGAAAATTGTTCGCAAAGTTCGGCCTCCCGGGGGGCCCCCGCCGGGCCTATAGGGACCGTCAAAAAACGACTCAGGGTGGGAAACCGGTCCTGGGGAATGGGTCGAGACTTCCGGGGGCCCCGTCTTGAAAAACTCACGACGTCGGATCTCAGGGTAAGAGTGCCTTTTGGTACGCAGCTTTTGGGGGGCCGCGGGAGGGCCAAACACAGGCGCGCAAGACGCTACTCTAGGTCACTCCGGCGAAGGGTCACTCTTGCGAGTAGTCGACGGGGAGACCCCCGACGTCGTGATTTTTCATGACGCGACCCTCAGAAATCTGGACCCCTCCCCGGGGACCACTTTTTCATCCAGAGTCATTGTTGAACGGTCCCGGGGGCCCAACGAGGGCTCCCAATGAGCGAAGAAGAACGAAAAAACATCCCGTCCTAATTTTGTGTGCACGGCGCAATCATGTCTGGGCCAGGAAGGGGCGGAGGGAAACGCACGGTGGAGCAGGGCGGAGGGAAGAGCGGAGTGGAGGAGAAGGGGCGGGCAGAGAGCGAAGAACCCCCAGGCGCGGACGACCTCTGTGCACTCTATACCGCATTGGCGTTTCCCGAGGCTTCGTCGATCCTCGACCCAGGACTGGTGCGATGCATGGCTTGTTCGAACTGAACCTCAGGGCCGAATAACGCCAGGACCTCTGGAGCCTGTTTTTCTTTAGACCCCGGCAAGTTTACTGGCATGGACGGGGGGGGGGGCCTGAACCTGACGCAAGCCGCAAACGAATTGCACGCGCGGAAATCACGTAAGTCGGAAGGCACTTGCACGCTAGTATTCGTCTGAAGAGGGGCGAGGGGGGGCGGAGGCCATGAAAGTAAACTTGCCCGAATATGTTTTGTTTTGCTATCTTAAAAGCTATAGATTGTGCGAAACTCAGGGCCGAAAAACACGCCAGGACTTCCGGTGCCCAAACAAAAAGTGTCCACACCCATGGCCGTAAAGACATGCAAGATGATAGCAACCACAACTGCGAAATGCCCTTGCTTCACACCCCTCCAGGTCAAACCCAAAGCTGAAATGTCCACACTTTGTCCCTGGCCTTTGGTCTAATTGCCGCCCTTAAGCCCGTCATCTTCGAATTCGGGGGAAGGGGGGTATACAGTAGACATTTCGGTCCGACGTGCTCTGATAACTCAAGGCCTTGGCGAGACATGTGGGGACATTTGTAGTCCACCCACCGTCCCAGTCCCCCGACGTCGGGATTTTAATATTGCGTCGGCCCCTGGAGGTCTCGACCTATTCCCCAGGACCGGTTTTTCATCCTGAGTCGTTTCTTGACGCTCCCGAGGGCCGGTAAGGGCCCCCAAAGGCCGAGAATAGCAAAAAACCTCCCGTCATGATTTTTCATTACCCGAGGGGGTCTGGGGATAACGGCTCTGAGTGAAAAGCGGGTCCCGGGGAAGGGGTGCAGACCTCCTCTGGGGGTCGACGTCGCGAAGAAAACTGCGACGTCGGGGGTCTGGGGGGTCCTCACTCTCTGCCCTGAGCTCCTGGCGCTGCAGTCGTTTTCGCCCAGTTTCGGGCCCCAAGACCCTTGCAGATCGACGCGGCTCGAATCAGGTGGGGCGAGTCCCCCTACAGACGGATTTACGGCAAAGAACTCAAAATAGTCAAACATATTCGTTAGCAATCAAAAATAATGGAGGATGACGATTAATAAATGACCGGGGGTCGTGTTAACGCGGCGGCGCCCGGGATGACGATTAGAAAAAAACCGGCCGCGGGCTGGAAAACTATTCTTTTTTATTGCTCTCCTCCAGTCCGAAAATTGTGCAGAAACAGCAGGAAATTATGTTTGAATCGTTCCCTCCAATTTTTTATGAATCGTCATCCCGCATTAATAGAAACATCTCCCCCAGACGTTGTGTTATGTTTGGACGCTCCTCCTGTGGAGGGACGTGCCCGACTTCGGGCTCGAGGGCGGCGCAGGAAGATGGGGTCTAGGGTGAAGTCGGGCGCGTCCCCCTGCAGGGGAATTTGTTCGACGAAAAACAGAAATTCGCAAAAAAACACTCCAAACTGGCAAAACAAACAACCCAGAAATAGTCCCCGGACTATGGTTGGACAATGTTTGGACTATCTTCGGGGTATTTTCTAGTTTTCGTCGAAACTACCCCTGTTGGGGGACAGGCCTGGCTTAAGTCCAGGGCTCCGGTGCTGACCCCCTACGGTGGTGCAGCTGTTGCTGCAGCGCCGGCTCTCGGGGTGCCCGCACCTTCTCCGCCGCTCCTGCTGTCCACCCTCCGCCCCTGCTGTCCACCGTGCGCTTCCCTCCACCCCTCCCTGGCCCAGACAGAGTCGCGTCCTTAACTAAGAGAGTCAGGACTGGAGGTCTTTCGGCTGTGGACAAACCTCCCTTTAGCAAACCTCCCCTTAGTGAAAACGGCCTGGGACCGAAACCGACGGACCTGGACCCGCAAAAATGACGGCCGCGACGCCCTCTCGCGAACCGAAAACGGCCAATTGCTTAATCGACGTGTCAGGGTAGGAGGTCTATCCATCTCCGAGTTTTATGTTAGGCCACGGGGAGCCCTCGCCGGGTCTCGGGGCCGTCCAAGGACGACTCGGGATGGAAAACCGTTACCCGAGAAGGGGTCGGGACTTCCTGGCGCGCAGTATGGACAAAAAATCAAAAATCCCTGGCCGCGAACTCAAGCGAATCCTGATCCCCAGACGTCCACCCTGAGATCCGACGATGCAGGAACATTCCAACATCGCAAACAGTCACCGCAAGAGCCCCGGACCGCATCTTTCTGCGCTATAGTTTTCGAGCCAGATCGATATGTGAGGGTCCCAGGGCCCGAAACAGAGCGAACACGCCCGTCATGAAAATATTGCAACGCCAGGATCTCAGGGCATGCCTTGCCTTTTCGGAGTGCGGGGCTCCGAGGTACTTCCCTGGGGCGGCTGCTCATCATGCAGGTCGTCCCTTGACGGCCCCGGGGCCCGGCGAAAGCCCCGAGAGGCCGAAAACGGCGCCGAAGGCCTTCCGTCGTATTCTTGCCGTCGCTCCCCAGACTCTCTCACTATGTTCGGCCTTCGGGGGCCCTTCCCGGGCCTCGGGACCGTTAAACAATGAATAGGGGAACAAAAAGTAACATAAACATAAAAACTCTGAAGTCCGCGCGGAGCGCACCAAGGGCGGCGCCGGAGGCGCCGCCGGGGGGCCCCAGCGCCGATCCGAGAAATCCGCGCGGACCTCAGAGTTTTTATGTTTATGCCATTTTTGGTTTCCCTGATAAATCAGGATGCAAAACCAATCCCTGGGAAGGGGTCCAGACCTCTGGGGGCCGACGTTGTGAAACAAATCATGACGTCGGATCTGGGTCGGACGTTCCTTCCCCATGCTTATTTCGGTTTCGCGCGCTTGTTCGGCTCGATGATCTAGGATGCTGCTCGAAGGTCATCGCCTAGAAACAATGCACAGGTCCGAGCGAGGCCAAGTATGTTTCACCCCGCGAGGAGGGGGAGGAGGAGGAGGAGGAGGAGGAGGAGGAGGAGGAGGAGGAGGAGGAGGAGGAGGAGGAGGAGGGACGGAGGCGGAGGAGAAAGAGGAGGCGGAGGAGGAGGAGGAGGAGGAGGACCCCGCGAGCCCTTGCCTGGACCCTCCCCTCCCCGCTCCCGGCCGCCTCTCGCACAGCCCCACGCAGGTCGGCTCGTTCCAGTCGCTCCAGTCTCCCAGCTCGCAGTCCCGGGGCTGGCAGTCCGGCGTGCACGCCTCCGTGAGCGGGCACCTCGCGCGTGCGTCGGGGCGCGCGCGAGGGGGGGAGAAGGGCCCGAGCACCCCGCGGAGGGGCCCGCAGGGGCCCCGTAAAATAGCACGCCGATTCTGGAAGGAGGAAGGCGCTTGGAATAGATTGGGGTCTGGGAGCCCCCAAAAAATACATACTTCCATCGACCGGCGCGTAATCCTCTTTAAAACAAGGCTAGGATCGGGATAAATCGCCCCAGAGCGTTCCGGAGCGCTCTCAGAGCGTTCCGGAACGCTCTGGAGCGGCCGCGGCGCCCAAGACATCCTCCAAACCCGCTGATTCTCAGAGATTTCGAATTATCCCGATCCGATTTTGTCCCGATCTTCGCGTCGTTTTACCTCAGGTCCCGACGATGCGGCCGGCTCCTGCCGGGCGTCTGCTCCTGGGTTTCGGCCTCGCGCGGGTGCCTGTCGACTTGCGTGATGCCCGCATGCGTCGCGCAAGCCGGCTGCGGCCTGCTCCGGGTTCAGGCTCGGGACCACCCCCGTCCGTGTAAGTACATCGGGAGCGGCCAAACGGCGGGTGTCCAAGAGGGGGGGGTGCAAATCATGACCGGCGGCACGTGCGCGGCCCAGCGGGGGGGGGGCAAGGACGTAATGAAATAAGACGAGGCGCCATGAAATCCGGGGAGATATCATGGCCCCCGCCATGATATCCACCCCCCCTAGTCATCACGCCCCTCCTTGCCGCCCCCGAAAACAACTGCCGAAACCTAAATTACTCACTGCGTGGAGCTCCCCATATGTGCATCTCATGTTTTATGTCATGCCGTGGTGAGCGTCTGTTCATGAGCGGTCGACTACAATAGCGCGTCCACGTGGGCGACAGGGCCGACGAAGACGAGTGACCCCTAATGCGAGTGATTGCGTATGAGTCAGAGTGAGCTTTGAGTATGGTTGAATGCGAGCCTCTTCCTCTTCATCCCCCCTCCTCAGCTGCCAGGCCTTCCCCTTTGTCAGCCCGTGGTAGCTTTGGAGCTTCCCATATGCGCATATGTTTTAGGATAGTTGGCAGTGGAAAAAGTTGGGCATGAAAACGAGCAAACCGCCTGAGACATCCCCACAAACTGACCGCGAACGAGCCCGTGCAACCACCCCTGGCGGCTCCCCTTAGGGGTGCTGAAACCAGCGCCCCGCCTGAGACATCCTCACAATCTGCTCTCCAAGCGAAGGATGTTGGGCCCAGAAACAAGCAAACCGCCTGAGACATCCCCACAAAATGGCCGCGAACGAGCCCGTGACCCCTGGCGGCCCCTTAGGGGTGCTGAAACCAGCGCCCCGCCTGAGACATCCTCACAATCTGCTCTCCAAGCGAAGGATGTTTGAGACCAGAAACTTAGAAACCAGCGCCCGCCTGAGACATCCTCACAATTGGCTCTCCAAGCGAAGGATGTTGAGCCCGAAACAAGCAAACCGCCTGAGACATCCCCAAAATGGCCGCGAACGAGCCCGTGCAAACACCCTGGCGGCTCCCCTTAGGGGTGCTGAAACCAGCGCCCCGCCTGAGACATCCTCACAATCTGCTCTCCAAGCGAAGGATGTTGGGCCCAGAAACAAGCAAACCGCCTGAGACATCCCCACAAAATGGCCGCGAACGAGCCCGTGCAACCACCCCTGGCGGCTCCCCTTAGGGGTGCTGAAACCAGCGCCCCGCCTGAGACATCCTCACAATCTGCTCTCCAAGCGAAGGATGTTGAGCCCAGAAACAAGCAAACCGCCTGAGACATCCCCAAAAAATGGCCGCGAACGAGCCCGTGCAAACACCCCTGGCGGGGCCCTTAGGGGTGCTGAAACCAGCGCCCCGCCTGAGACATCCTCACAATCTGCTCTCCAAGCGAAGGATGTTGAGCCCAGAAACAAGCAAACCGCCTGAGACATCCCCACAAAATGGCCGCGAACGAGCCCGTGCAAACACCCCTGGCGGCTCCCCTTAGGGGTGCTGAAACCAGCGCCCCGCCTGAGACATCCTCACAATCTGCTCTCCAAGCGAAGGATGTTGAGCCCAGAAACAAGCAAACCGCCTGAGACATCCCCACAAAATGGCCGCGAACGAGCCCGTGCAAACACCCCTGGCAGCTCCCCTTAGGGGTGCTGAAACCAGCGCCCCGCTTGAGACATCCTCACAATCTGATGTGTGTTGAGTAAGTCTGAGTATGAGTAGGTCTGAGTATGAATATGCCTGAGTATCAGTAAGTCTGTGTATGAGTAAGTCTGTGTATGAGTAAGTCTGGGTATGAGTAGGTCTGTGTATGAGAAAGTCTGTGTATGTGTACGTCTGGGTATGAGTAAATCTGAGTATGACTAATACTGTGTATGAGTAAGTCTCGGTATGAGTGAGTCTGTGTATGAGTACGTCTGGGTGTGAGTATGTCTGTGTATGAGTAAGTCTGTGTATGAGTATGTCTGAGTGTGAGTAGGTCTGAGTATGAGTAGGTCTGAGTATGAGTAAGTCTGAGTATGAGTAAGTCTGTGTATGAGTAAGTCTGAGTATGAGCAAGTCTGAGTATGAGTAAGTCCGACAGGAGGGGAGGAGGAAAGAGGAGGAGGGAGAAGGAGAGGGAGTAGGAGGCGTCCAAGTAATAACAAGAACCCCATCTTAGGATATGGGGAACAAGAAACGCCGGCTATACTGCAAGGTAGGTACCACATCTCGAAGATGTGGTTGTCTCCTGCCCGGCGCTTGCCGGGCTGGGGCACGCTGTTGGGCCCCCCGGCGCAAGCAAAAACGGGCCTGAGGCGAAGAGCGCCGGGACCTCTGGGGCCGCGCACGGGCCAGCATCACCCCATCGATTGCCCGGGAACGTCGCGGCCAAGCTTACCGCACACCCTCCTGTCCACCGGCCCACCAGGTGTCAGGTCGGGCCTGTCCTCCTATACAGGCGATTACTGGGCGAGAAATGGAAGCTACTCCACATGCGCAAACATAGCCAAAGAAAGCTCAGAACATCGTCCCCAAACTATATTTTATGTGTTTGACTGTTCCTCCTGTCGAGGGACAGGCCCGGCTTAACCCCAGCGTTTGCAGCCGCCTGCACACTCCTTGTGGAGCAGAGACTCCACGCCTGACGGCTCCTCCCGCGTACCCAACTCCTCCTCCACGCCATGCCGTCTTCCTTCCCCCGACGTCCCGAGGTTGAGCAGGGACCGACCGTCCCGACATTTCTATAGGCCTACCACGACATGTACTTAAAACACAGAAATGTTCGAATAGCGAAACAATGTTCTTAGAACAGAATCTCGATGTGTCAAAACAAGACAGTCCCAGCCAGAAATGTTAGAAGAACATGATATGCAGACCACAAAAGGCTCTTCGAACATTACTTGGTGGACCTAAAAGCAAGCCAGGACGCTCCGCCACTGCTTGACTCCAAACCATGCCTTCTTCCTTCCCTCGACGTCCCGTGGGCCCCGTGGCCCATGCGCGGCTGGCCGGCTGCCCAAAAACGCGCTGCGCGCTTGCCCCCTCCGCTGACCACAAGTGTCTGGGAACGTCGGGCAAGGCGTCTGCCGCTGCCCAGAGAATGCATCGCACAATCGAAACATCGAGGCGAAAAACGTCGGGGATCTTCTGGCCCGGGTCATATCCAGACCCGGGTCGGTCAGCCCTTGCAGAATCCCGCAAGATTCTGCAATATATATATATATATATATGCATCCAGACCCAGGTCAACGCGAAGGATCCTGCAAAATCCTGCAAAATCCTGCGCCCAAACTCCGGTCAATGCAACCCTGGCCCTGCAGAATCCTGCAAGATCCGGCGCTTTGGCTGATCACCGTTTGCATTGACCCCCGTCTCTTCAGCCCCGAAAGCGACGCTTCCGAGAAGTTCTGGCAATCCGAAGGCTCGAACCCGGAGCCCGAGCCCCCTTTTCCTGCGGCGAGCCTCGAGCCCGGATGATTCTGTGAGGGTCCGGGGAGCCCCGAATGTGAGGCGCAGTCGCCCAGGGCCAGGGCGAAGCTATTGCAGCGCCAGGGCCTCAGGGTTCTCGCCCCCCCGGGGAGGAGGGGGGGGGGCCTCGGGTGGCGCAGGGCGCCCGCTCTGCCACACCAGCCGCCCCCCCAGACCTCCCCGCAGGCATGCGCCACGTCTCGGGAGCGATCGCCCTCCAGCGCACGAGCGGCGGCACGGCCCGCGCACGCGGGGGGGGGGGGCAGCTGGGACATGCTGGAGGAGCGGCGGCAAAGATAGGCATGCGTAGTGGCGTACGGCGGGATTGCTGGGTCGCTCGGCGTGCATTAAAAAACATGTTCGCTGGCATCATGTACTCTGGTGCTGTTGAACCTGCCTGAACGAGCTTACAGTCATGATTGTCGGTTATGTCGTTTTGAGCACGGTCGTTTTGAGTATGGTCTTTTTGGTCTTTTCTACACTAGAGGCCTCCCAGATGGGGTCCGAGTAGATGGGGTCTGAAGATCGCGCCGAATCTCCGATGCATCAAAGATGCATCGCCGATGCATCAGCGATGTTTCGGCGACTTCGGCGGTGCATCGGCGACGCCAGCGCGGAGCAAATCAAGCTCCCCATCGAGTCGCATCGGCGATGCATTGGCGATGCGGCGCTATCCACGGACCCCATCTGCTCGGACTTCGTTTGGGAGGCCTAGATCGGATAATTTCAAGTGGCCGTGTCTTGAAGTAAAAATCTTAAAACAAATCCGACTCTGGCTGACCCAAAAGAGGGTCCAGCTGAAATGGGGGAGGTGCAATAGATTTGCAACTGTACTGCAAATGTTCTGCGCCGCTGATTCGCACTGCACTACACGTTGCAACCACTGCTTTGCACGCGAAAAACCAGCAATCCATCTGATCACTGGAATGTCTTGCGCGCACCAAATCTGTTGCAACCCCACAACAACATCGCACCAAATCTATTACACT